CGCGCGCTCTCTCTCTCTCTCTCTCTCTCTCTCTCTCTCTCTCTCTCTCTCTCTCTCTCTCTCTCTCTCTCTCTCTCTCTCTCTCTCTCTCTCTCTCTCTCACACACACACACACAAACACACACACACACACACACACACACACACAGAGTAGCCAGCAAGTGCTTATACAGCTACATTTATTCTGTATTGTAGTGTTCACGCTCTAATGTAGTGTGCTTCAGACTGAGCTGACAGGAAATCAGTTGCCTTCGTAGTAACTTGCTGCAAAGGATGTGAAATTACACTCAATTACTCTCACCTGCCACACACGCACACGGTCACATGCGGAAACTTTTTTTTTCTTGCTGTAGTGATTGAAATGCACAGGAAGTGATGTAACTCCACAGTGCTGCTATTTCACCACTGTGAGCACAGGTTCTCTAATGAAAACAGCCGAAGTGCTGCTTTTGTGGTGGCAGTTAGGTGAGTCAATTAAAAAAATGGATGGTAAAAATGAAATGTTTCGTTAATGGTTAGGGTTTAAAGGGGGATAAGAGGGTTGTTAATAATGAATAATCTGCTCTTTGACTCCTGAACACAGAGTTTTAACTTGGTATATTTCTTACAACATTGCTAGGTATTAGGGTTTTAAATTAGGGATGCATGATATTATTGGTGCGTTATCGATATCGGACAATATTGGCTTTAAAATGAACTATCAGAGTTGCCCAACATGTTTTTACTTATTTTGCACAGTGAATTAATGTAAAATAAGTTGAAAAGCATTATATTTCATGTCTCCATCTGCTGTTTGGGCCATCACGATAAGAGTATGCATGCATGATATGATGTTAATTCTACTACAGGAGAGACTTGATGATCACTAAAATGAGGTGGAGAAAAAGTGGATATATCTATCAAATATCTGCAAAAAATCTAATACCATGCATCCCTAATTTAAACTGGAATACGATACTATATTGATTCTTTGGACAACCTTTCAGTATTTGCTGATATCAGAAGGTCTGCCACGATACCATTTCAATTCGATTCAGGTGTCTGATCGACATGAGACAATATCATTAAATATCATTAATGTCTTAGTCTGTGCAGCTGAACACAGTCTAAAGTGTGCGAGGCTGCTACCACTGTTTGAATGTTTAGGAAGTAGGTGTGCTTAGATAGAAATCGACGTGCGATGGGAATTTAAGGATAAAGGGTTATCTTAAAGATGACGATGCATATCCATGTTTTCACTTTGCATTGATATTGAATCAGTGATCATTAAATTGATATATCAGTACAGACTGTTGTACCATTACACCCCTGCTAGGTATGCGTGTGTCAATGCACATCTGTAGTATTTACTAGGGTCACGTCATTTTCAAACCAGTTTGATCTTAAGCTAAATATCGGAACAGTGTACCAAGCTATACCATTAGGTGACGCACTTGACTCAGCAGCTGAATTGTAACAACCATGCAGCATCTGACTATCACGTCACATTACGTAGCATTGGAGCGCTCTGTCCACACAGAATTCATTAAATATGCACTTTTTTTTTTACATCATGTAAACACACACCTGGACTGGCAAAACTGGAAATTGGCCCAGCACATAGTGTTTACTATGTGGCATGCTGGAACTCGTGTTCAAAAGTGTGGCCAAGTGAAGAGCTTCTATAGGTGTTTACTTCGTTTTATACAGACTTAACCGATGAAAACAAGTCATATCTTAACTTAAGCGCGTCTGAATTTCACACTTGTCAGACTGTATCAGGTCAGAAGTAATGAGAAGATGGACATGATGCGGCCAGTATTTTCTCCAATTATTAGTGCACATATAGCCCATGCGAGGGTTATAACCTTTCAGATGAACTACTTTTGGTAAAGATAATAACTTTCAGTCACAATCAGAATTGTTATACCACTACTATTTTCACTCTCAGTTGTGGGGAAATAAAAGTATCTGTAATCCAAAGCGCTCTCATACATACAGATTACAGTAGTGTTCGTCACTTTCCCCTTTAGCTCTGCACAGTTAGTCAAGTTGGTAACAGTCTCATCATTTGTAGAAGTTGTTGAGAAATCATCAAGGATGATTTGATCAGAACCAATTAGTGGTTTAAGTGGTGATTGAACCAATTACTAACTTAATAGATATTGTTCCATGCGAATTAATGTGTTTGTAGCTCTGGCTCTTGAGTCAACGAGTTTCTAGGGATGCAGTGAGAAAATGTTCTCATGACAATGGTGTTACTGATAACACCAGACGTTTTAAAAGATGCATCGATGACGCTCAATATTTGAGTGCTTACTTTGATCTTTAATGTTAGATCTTCCCCTCACTTTGAACAAAACGGAACAGGAACAGTTGGTGTGGCTGTGGCAGCACCTGCTTTTTAATAAACTTGCCAAAGTTTTTTTCTGTTGGGCTCTGCGGCAGCTCCCTCCTCCTCTTCATCTCCCTCTTCTCTCACTGGGTGTGCTCTCCGCCTGAGAATGACTCCTCTTAGTCTCCTTAGCATTTAGGTCATAGTCACTATGGTAGCACTGGTCCATGAATGGTGCCTCGTGCATAAGGTCTGCACAGAGCTCTGTGCTGCGCCTCTGCTGCTGTGGCTGTACGAAGCAGACACTTTCAGTTTAGAATTATAGCGTCTGTCATCCGACTAAGAATTGACAGAATGCTTAGTCTTTTTTTTTTATATACACACACATATATATATATACACATATACACACATGTACCTGTAGCCTATGGGTTATTACATATTTATCGGTGTCCAGCCTGGACACAGGTGGCGTGTCTGTAGAAGTAGACCTGACACACGCAGCCACATGCTCCTAATTTATGAGCTTTAATATGAATAGGTTATTATAAAAATATCAACAGTATATAGACTACTATCATTAATACAAGGCTATAGGTCATGGATGTATAAATTAAATATTCCAACCTCAAATTCAACTGTCCACTGTAATGCTTTTGAACGCAGTAGTGGAAATCCTTTGATGCCACTTTTCAGTCTGTCTAATAGGACTAATTGCTTAAATTGGACATGGCGTTTCCAATTATATGTCTTTCCAACTCCAAACTCTAGGGGTGAGGCCTCCAAAACAGAGAATGTATTAGGGTGGTATATTTGAATGAGGGTTGTTTTCGGCGGGCACATTTATCAGCGCCCAATCATTCTGACACCATGATAGCAAGATAGTGTTTTATGAATCACACATGAACCTGTTGGTAAGAGGATTTCTGTGTCAGAGGTGCAGTGGTTTGTACGTTAGATTGATAAATGAGGGCCTTTATCTCAGTATTCATTTCAGGATTAAAAGGGAAATGAAAGATACCGACTGTAGACTAACTGGCATATTCAGAAAATTAATAAAAGAAATTAAATGTTGTAAGAATATAAACATACACAGCCAATGTATATTTCCTCAAGAGAAGTTAAAATGGCCTACTTTGCACTGGAAAGATTTCCATTTTATGTCACCGTAGCTAACATAATATCAAACTCTACAAGCCAACTTCTGCAATACTCAGGAAGAAAATGTTGCATTCATGTTAGTTTTGTTGTACCTTCAATGGTGATGCAAGTTGTTATGATGTGCACTGCCGAATTTATCACACACACAAATATTGTGTTATATCACAGGAGATCAAATTGCAAAACAAGATCAACATGATGAAACACGACGGAAACCTCAGCTACAACGCAACCACAAAGGAAAGGATCGATCAAACATTGATATCTTAAGACAAGAATTTCCAGAAGGTTCGCAAAAACGGCTGGTATTGAACAGCACAAACCAACAACAAATGACTCAAATGGAAGAACAATTGATGATTAACAGGATGTCTACTGGGCGTCATAACAAAACCACAACTGTGCCTACCACAAAAACAGATGCTGAAGCAAATTTCTCAACCTCAACCCAAACCACAAAAGGAGAAACAGGAACTACCAAGACTAATCATCCCACAACATCAATTAATCCCACCACAAGTACAGAGGTCTCACCCAGTTCCCCATCTATATTGTCTCCAGTAACTACTCATTTCACTCAAACAGCACCTGAACACAAAAGTCAAACAACACTAAATACTACCAGCACAACTCAGCTTCCATTGACTACCCATGAAACATCTACAACAGTGATGTCCTCATCAACAGAGCAACATTCCACATCTCCTACGACAATAACATCCACAGCAACAACTGAATCACATTCCTCAGCCTCAACCCAAACCACAAAAGGA